GGACACATTTGCAAATCTTCACAATCCCACAGAGGGCCTTTGGCCCCCGATGAGAACCAGTGGCATAATAACCGCTCTTGGGAACCAGCGTCATTCTCCTGATTCTGTTATGCATCAGTCTCGGTCACCTTTCTTTTCTTTTCACTTTCACGCTCATCTCTGCTTGGCATCCTATACATTTGGTTTTCAACCTCCTTGCCTTACATTTGCAACATCTTCAGAGAAGGTGGTCCTAGCCCATCCCAGCTCCCACAAGCTGGTATTTCTAGTTTCCTGGCCAAGGAGGGCATACCTTTCAGGTACACAGAGATACAAAGACTGCCAAATAGTTCTCATTGCATTGTTTAGCTGGAGTATCTCAGGCCAGAGACAGGGACATGACCAGGCAAACTTCAAAGGAAGTTGTGAAGCTACCAGAGGTCTTAAAATAAAAAATGGATCTAGAGCTCTTCTATCACTGAATGGGCCGTGTGACTGCTGCCCGTTCTATCAAAGTGGAAGCCAAACCAGTCCCTTCCCTTAGAGCTTCCACAGATGAGAGAGTTCAAGGAAGCAGGAAGGATGGATTTGTTTTCATCTTGCACACCAGCTGACTATCAGCGCTGGTCTCTGGAGTAGAGAAGCCCTCTAGGAGGGACTCCCAGGGTATCAGTGATGTCTCTGATACCAAAGCATCCAGGCATGGCATGGTAGCTCGTGCCTATAATCCTAGAACTTCAGGAGGCCGAGGAGGGCACATTGCTTGAGCCCAGGAGTTTGAGACAAACCTGGGCAACATGGCAAAATCCTTTAGATTTGTCTTGTGCAAGGATCTGCTGAGCCACACACCTGGATCATATTTTGCTGATGATGTTAGATTTGCCTAGGATGGCTAGTATGGGGCATGTGTGAGAGAGAGAAAGACGTGGATGTGAAAGAAAGGAATTCTCACTGGGTGCGGTGGCTCATGCCTGTAATCCCAGCACTTTGGGAGGCTGAGGTGGGCGGATCACAAGGTCAAGAGATCGATACCATCCTGGCTAACACAGTGAAACCTCATCTTTACAAAATATACAAAAATTAGCCAGGTGTGGTGGCATATGCCTGTAGTCCCAGCCACTTGAAAGGCTGAGGTGGGAGAACCGCTTGAGCCCAGGAGGCAGACGTTGCAGTGAGTGGCGATCCCGCCACTGCACTCCTGTTTGGGCTACAGAGTGAGACCCTGTCTCAAAAACAAACAAACAAAACATTTAATTCGACCCACAAAATATCTCAAGATTCCATTCGTTTGGCTTTAGCTTTGGAAGCAACTTTCACTCTTCAATTGCACTGTTGTTTTGCAGGACAGCTTTCGACTCGGCATAGAACAATATCCGGCAGTTTCCTCCTGATGTTGCTGGATGAACATCGAGGCACATGATGAATTGTTGTGCTGAGAAACTCTGAGATGTTGCACGGGTCACGGCTGCTGTGAGAGTGACTCACGGAAACCCAGACCTGCCTGGGAGGCAGGAAAGGCAGCATTGAGGGACTGATGGGCCCTGGGCCATGACAAACAGAAGCAGATGGGATGAGGCCCACAGGGACATTGTGTCATTCACGGGGTGACCTGAACATTACCAGAGGCAGATGAGACTGCCAGGAGGAGCACTGTTCTCTCATCTGGTGGGTTTGCAAACCTTTTTCTTTTACTATTTTCTTAAACTTCTTCTGAATTCTGTCTGTGGCTTTAGTTGGGATCCAGCCAAGCTTTCCTTTAAAAATAAGACACATTATATAGTTACTGAATTATCAAGCTTTGGTCAATGTCGACATTAACATCATTAGCAAAATATGATCCAGGTGTGCGGCTGGGCAGATTCCCTGCTCATGGCAAATCTAAACGAATAAGCACACTTCCTTCTCATTTTTGCGAATGTGGCTGAGAAGCAGAAACGAATACTGATGTGGATGAAAACGTAAAAGGCTTGCAGGCATGTACTGTGCACACCAAATTTAGGCACGACATGAAGAAGGAATAAAAGGTCAGGTGCCTGATTGTTCGTCACACGTGTACCCGTCTGATGGCATGCTGATGCCCGTCAGTTGAGGTCAGTGGTGACAGAAGAGTGGATTTGAAGGGTCATTTCAAATTCTTCTGCGTCAAAGTGGCCTAGACCGGGAGCCCCTGAGCAGAGACCACGTCTTTTAATTTTGAATCGTCACCGTCCAACCCGGGGCCGAGTAGCTAGGCGGTAGTTTGATTGTAGTAACTCTTATCTTACTGTCATTATAATATCCGCTGTTGAATGTCCCTGCATCACCTTCTAACTATCCCACCACATGAGGCTGTCATGATGCGGGCTGACACTCACAGATACCTTCAGTTTGTTTAATGTTGTGGGAAGTGCACCCTATCACTGTTCTGGCAGCTTTTTTCTCCAGAATTCCATAAGCTGGAACAACTATTTATGAACCTCATTTATAAGAGATGACAGTTGCCAGTAGTACAATGAAATACATGCTGTGAGAAAATGAAGCGTATAAGGCAGAATGAACTTTTATGTCCCTCTAACCCACACCCCAGTCCCCTGCCCTTTCCTGGGGCCGATAATAAGCCAAAGCTAGGCCAGCTCAAAGGAGAGGGAGGGTAGCGATTCTGTAAGAATCTCCGTGTACAGGAACTGCACCAAGGGGAGGCCAACTGGACAGACAGCAAGGTTAACATGCCTTATAAAATCCACCGGCCTGCTTCTCCCACCAGCCCCCAGCACAGTCCCTGCTCAGATAAAGCAGAACCCAATGTGACCAAAAGCCTGACCTGTCTTAGAGCCTGAGGACCCAAGGCATGGCCTGGGAGTGGGAGCAGTAGGTTGAAGAAGTCCAAAGGGGCAGGAATTGGGGTGTGGGTGTGGAGTGAAAGGAGAGAGGACCAAATGTGCGGGGAGGCCCTCAGGCCAAGCTGGAAGGACCTAGGGCTGAGGAGGGCCCAGGGATTCCTCGATTGGACCCCCGACCTTCACATACTCTGACCGGGAAGACACAACGCAATCTTTTTTTTGAGACAGAGTCTCGCTCTGTTGCCCAGGCTGGAGTGCAGTGGTGTGATCTCAGCTCACCGCAACCTCCGCCTCCTGGTTCAAGCGATTCTCTTGCCTCAGCCTCCCGAGTAGCTGGATTACAGGTGTGCGCCACCACATCTGGCTAATTTTTGTATTTTGGGTAGCAACAGGGTTTCACCATGTTGGCCAGGCTGGTCTCAAACCCCTGACCTCAAGCGATCCGCCCGTCTCGGCCCCCCAAAGTGCTGGGATTACAGGCATGAGCCACCGCGCCTGGTCCAACACAAGTCAATCTTGGAGGGTTGTTTTGTACATCCTTCTGGATGCAATGGTGCATGGATAGGCTAAGAGTACAGTTGTATTATAAACTGAAAACCACTGTTCCCTTCCACTCTTCAGGTGGATGTTCTGGGTTTGTTTTACGTGCATTTTTCCTTTCTCTCATAAAACAAAAGGAATCATGTTGTCATCAGTTTTCTAAAGTTTGTCCCCAGCTGCCTCTACTTTTCCTGTGTCTGATGGGGGCCAGCCAGTCACAAGGACCTCACCACACTAGCAGTGTGCGGCCTTCTAAATGGGCATTTGTGAAGCTCTGGGTGCCGGCTAGGCAGGGCAGGGTCAGAGAAATGCAAAGTATTCCAGGCACCAGCCCCGGAATTTACTCCCAGCCTCTCCTCTGCCCACATCATAGCCCCACCAGGCTGCGGTCTTCTCCTTTTGGAGCAGAAGGTGCCCCAAGGCCTCTCTTGGAGATTTTACCCTGTTGGCTCATGGGGAGAGAGGAAGAGAAGCTCAGATCAGAGGGAATGCCTAATGAATTACCACGCGGAAGGAAGAAGCAGAATGTGAGCCTCTGCTGGTTAGGTCCAGAGAAAAGATGTTTCTGGACCTGTGATTTAGGTGGGCAGGCAAGCAAGCAAGAGGAGAGCCCGCAGCCAGGGGACAGAAAACTCTGGGAGTTTCTGCTTTCTGAAGCCTGGAGCAGTTTGCCCAGCCAGGCTGGAGGCTATGCTGGAGGGCCTCGGTTTGGGGGTGCCACCTCCTGAGTACAGAAAATGGACCTAACACCCTCAGTGAAGTCAAGATAAGAGGAAGGCTGGATGCCAAATGGGGACAAAGGATTAAAATAGGCTTTGGGGGCTGTTCTAGCCCAAGGAGAGGAAACACGAGAGGAAAAAAACATGCCTGAGTGACAGCCCCACAAATTCCCAGGAGAAGTGGGATGGGAGAGGAGAGGGCTCATTATAAGCTGTTCCTTTTGCAAACCTGGGTGAGCTGCTAGAGCTTCTAGAGAACGAACATCCCAGGACATCTGGAATGAGGCGGGCGTGTGAGACCCTCTGATATCAACTCCACTGACAAATTGCAGTTTACAAAGCATGGTCAAAACCAGCATCCCACAGTGTGTGACAACAGTCCTGGGGCAGTGTCATCATCACGCTGCACCTGTTTTACAGATGAGGAGACCCAGAGATGTGCAAGGCCTTGGCCTGCACAGGTGGGCTTCAGAGAGAGGTGTGAGGACCACCAGTCAGCACAAGGTGACCTCGTGCTGCAAGGCTAAATGATAATGCTAATAGGCATGTATTTACTGTAATGAGCTTTTAACAATACAACTAGAACCATTAAACCTATGATTTCAAGGATATTGTTAATTAGGAAGAGGCTTTTTTTTTTTTTTTTTTTTTTCTGAGACAGTGTTGCTCTGTCACCCAGGCTGGAGTGCAGTGGCACGATCTCGGCTCACTGCAACCTCTGCCTCCTGGTTTCAAGCAATTCTGCTGCCTCAGCCTCCCAAGTAGCTGGGATTATAAGTGTGTGCCACCACGCCCAGTTAATTTTTTGTATTTTTAGTAGAGACGGGGTTTCACCATGTTGATCAGACTGGTCTCGAACTCCTGGTCTCAAGTGATCCACCCACCTCGGTCTCCCAAAGTGTTGGGATTATAGGCGTGAGCCACTGTGCCCAGCCAAGGCTGTGTTTTAAAAGTGAGTTTATTTAAAGTTGGTTTCAACGAAGTAGTAAATAAATCATATTACACATGGCAGTTGGTTTTCCTTCTTTAAAAGTGCAAAGGCGGGAAACCATGTACTGAATGGTGGTGGTTGTGATGACGATGATGATGATGAAGCAAACTATCATCGTCATCGAGTTTTATAACACTCGGTGCCAAGCATCTTGCATATATTAAATTATTTATTCTTGTGACAGCTCACGAGGTGGGGATAATGATGACTTCATTTGACACAGGAGGCTTTAGGGACGCACAGGGTAAGGGTGGAGGGCTACGGCCAGGTGCTCAACTGCAGTGTACTCACTCCTGCAGGCAGCTATGGAGGCCCCTGGCCAGAGGCCCAGGTGCAGGGGCATTGAGACCATGCCTGCTGGAATGGGGAGGGAGTCCGTGTGTGCCCTCTCTGCTTCCGATGCAGAACTACAGGGGATTACTTTCCAAAGCAAATGGGGACAGTGTGGCGGCCACAGCGAGGTGATGTCACGAGCAGCTCCAGAAGCATTCTGTTTTGCACTCTGGGCAGAGGCTGCATTGCACAGCTAATGTGAGGGCCCCAGGCAGAATCCCAGCTAAGTCCATTTCAGGCTGGCCTTCCTGCCGGCCTGCTAACCTCTTCCAGATGATTCTGGCTGGATTTGAGAGGCTTTACCAGACAGGTTGTCTCCGTGTTAGATGAGTGGAGGAGGATGTCTGCAAAGTGCCTGAAGAGAGGGAAGAAGAGAACTCTGAGATCAGGTGGCTGCTGTGAAGGCTCACAGGACACACGCGGATTGGGGAGAGGAACGAAGAGACGAATAGGGCTAGTGGGTCCTAAGAATCTCTCAGCCAAGAGCACAAAACACAAGTGTGCTGGCGGGGCATGATGGCACCCACCTAATCCCAGCTACTCAGTAGGCTGAGGTGGGGAGGACCGCTATGCTGCCAGCCTGGACAACACAGGGAAATTCCATCTATAAAAAAAAAAAAAAAAAGCTAAAAAGGCCACAATTGTGCTTCTTACTTTTCACACAAGCGGTCAAAAATCTTCCAGCACATCCTCTCTTTCAGCATAGCATTTAAGAGCAAGAGCTCTGGAATCCTAGATTCACCTCTCATTAGCTGAGGTCATTTAACCTCTCTGGGCCTTGCTGAGGTCATTTAACCTCTCAGGGCCTCAGTTTCTCCATCTGAAAAGTAGGAATAATAAAAGTGTCTCTCGTAGGGTACTGCAAAGATTACACGTGATCATCTTAGCACAGTACGGGGCGTGTGTTAAGTGCCTGATGATGGTAGTTATTACTGTTAGTATCCCCCAGGATGCAGCCAGGTCACTGACTCTCTGAGGAGACTCCATCTGGCTTGGATTTGTAAGTCCAGGCTGACCTACCAAAGCAAAATTTTAGAAAATTCTTACTTTGATTAGTTAATGCCCCTTTTAATTTTTTAAAAAACGTGTACACGGGCAAATATACTGATTTCATGGGATATTTAAGTCAAAGTTAAGATATCAAAGTGGCCAGAAAAGGGTTCCAAAGTTGAATTCATGATTATTCTCTCTCAAAGCCTGCTTTTCCTCCCGTGTTCCCTGCCTTAGTAAATAACTCCTCTAGGTGCTGGGAGGGTCTAGAGAAAATGACGCCGCCTTTTCTGTTTCCAGGTTCCGATCAGACTGGCTATGCCACCCTTCGCTGACACTGCCTCCCACATTGCAGGCTTCTCAGGGGGGTGGGGTGGATACAGCCGGCCCCACCAAGCTCACTGTGTGGTCCAGAGAGCAGAGAGATCACATCTGTCTGTGGCAAACAGGGGTGATTCGAAAACCCAGAAGGCGCTGAGCCGCCCCAGCCCAGATCCTCCTCCCTAACACACCATCATGTAAGGAGCAAGGGGCTGTTACTCCAACAGAAGACCTTCCATCAGGAAATATGAGGAGCGGGGAATGAGTGTTCCTCTAACACCATCCACCACAAACCTCAGAGTCACCTTGGACACAGTCTCCTTCACCCCTGCCTCACTCCATATTCTGCTTATCATCAAGTCCTGTCAATTTCACTTCCGAACTATGTCTTGACTCTGCTCTCTTGGCCCTATTATATAGCCACTAGTCCAAGACAGTATTTATTATCTCTCACCTGGACTCCTCACAGGCCCCCTAATCCACTTTTGCTGTCTCCAATCTGTTCACACTGCAGGCCCCAACTCCTCCTGACATTATTTTTAACAAAGTTCTTTGTTGCTCTTTGGTAAAAACTAAAATCCATCGTGTGTGTGCAAGCCTGGACCTCAGGCTTCCTGACACTCACTTTCCTAGGTTGGCCAGGGCTTGGCTGGGGCACGGAGAGTGTCAGTTGCATGATTTTTGTCCACTTACAGGCCCCCTCCCTTTCCTTTTTTTTTTTTTTATTTTTGAGATGGAGTCTCGCTCTGTCACCCAGGCTGGAGTGCAACGCCCGATGCCCTGCTGGTCTAGCCCCTGCCTACCTCCCCAGCCTGGGGCAGCACCACCATCCCTCTCACCCACAGTGTGAGCTCCAGCCACCCTGCTTTCTTTGATTTCGCAGAGAAGACAGGTCTACTCAGAACCCTTTCCCGTACTTTCCCTCTGTGTAGAATGCCCACCCTTCCTTTCTTCCAGCCTTCCTTCCTCCCTTTCCCTTCCTCCCACCGACTCTCATTCATCCTCCACATCTTACCTCAAATGTCACCTTCCCAAGGAAACTTCCCAGACCAGATCAGATCTCCCTACTAAAGATTCAAGGTTTTTGTGATCATTTCTTTCATAGTATTGAGAGTTGATAATAAGATAATTGATTCTTTGATCAATCTCTGTGTCCTCATGATACTCTAAGCTCCATGAAGATAGCGTTTTTTTTCACCCCTCAGCCCTGGCATAGTAACTGGCACATAGCAGGTGCCTGGTAAATATTTGTTGATTGATGGAATTAGAGAGAAAAATTATTGTAGAAAAAAATGTGATCCCAGTGAATGGTTCTGGAGATCAAATGTCCCTTTTCCAGGAAAGTGGGACGGGCTTGGGAGACACGGGATAGGATGTTTGTGTGTGAGTGGTGGAGGCTGCAGCGGAAAAGGGTTTGTCTGGGATCAGAGGCCAGGAGCTGGCAGCTCCACCGGCTGCATGGGAAACATGATTATAGTGTCAGGAGGGATTAATGGAGTGGAGCAAAGGAGGTGGTTCCTGGCAGAGCCCTTCCCAGATCAGATGCATACGGAATTTGAAACCTGGAGGGAGGAACAGGAAAACGCAGTTGTTGGCAACAGCCACAGCAAAAATCACCAACGTTTCTCTGGGGTGTAGGCTCCTCCAGGCTGCTGCACCCACATGTGAGAGGCCTTTGCCATTTCATGGGACACACAGCACCTTTTTAGTTTTGGGAAATTCCCACAGCATGCGTCTTTCTGGGAGGCGGCCAGATTTGTCTTTCAAACCTGGTTCTCCAGCCTTCGTGGTGGGTCTCAGTGCTACCCAATATCCTTAAATAAATTCCTTTTCCGTTAAGTCAGCCAAAATGAGTTTTTCTTGTTTGCAGCCAAGAACCATAACTGGTTTAGTCTGGGGCCAGCAGGGAAGTGACGTTTGGCTTCTCCACATAGCCAAGCACGTGGGCGCCACGCATGCAGACACTCCAAGAGTGGACAGGGCCGCCTTGGCAGCCTGAAAGTTAGGGGCTCCTTAGGAATGGGGCAGGGGGAAGGTGACCATTGGGAGCCAGGAAGAGTCTTTAGATGGACTTGGGTGGAGGCCACACCAGAGAAATCATTCTATTGTTGAGACATGTCCGTGGGCGGGACACCTGGTACACCCCAGACTGGGGCCTGGGAAGCACCTTTCACTCGGAAGCCCAAGAACCCACAGCTGGCTCACCACCTCGTGGGAATGTAAACCCCAGCCCTCCCGGGTCTTCTGGTACTTGTCGCGCTTTTCCTGAACAGACTGCACTCTAGTATCTGTTCAAGGTATTTTTCCACTTCCATGACCCTGAGTCCACTACAAAGACGAAAACACGGGAGGAAATCATCAGAGCCAGAGTGCATTCGCCACACTTCCCACACCTCAAACAATCGGACGTCAGAGCAGGGAAGGCCCCTGGGACCATCGGGTCTTGTGGTCTCAGATGTCAGTGGACCTCAGAGTCACCCAGGAAACTGCTTCACACCGTGGGCTCCCACGGATTTCCCCAAGCCCAGAGCTGATCCTCTCGGCCTGCTGTGTAGCCCCAGGATCTGGGTTTTGTACAAACTTTTCAAGCGATTCTCATGTGAGTTGTTTAAATATAGTGATTTTCATCCTTCATCTCATCCTACAGAAGAAGAAACAGACTCAAAAAGAAATTTCCTCCTGACCAAAGCCCCCCAGAGAATTGATTGCTGAGCTGAACACTGACCTCAGGCTTCCCGACACCCACTTTCCTAGGTTGGCCGGGGCTCAGCTGGGGCACAGAGAGTGTCAGTTGCATGATTTTTGTCCGCTTACAGGGCCCCCTCCCTTTCCTTTTTTTTTTTTTTTTTTGAGATGGAGTCTCGCTCTGTCACCCAGGCTGGAGTGCAATGGCACGATCTCGGCTCACTGCAACCTCTGCCTCCCGGGTTCCAATGATTGTCCTGCCTCAGGCTCCTGAGTAGCTGGGAATACAGGTATGTGCCACCATGTCCGTCTAATTTTTTGACTTTTAGTAGAGACAGGGTTTCACCACATTGGCCAAGCTGGTCTCAAACTCCTGACCTCATGATCCGCCCACCTCAGCCTCCCAAAGTGCTGGGATTACAGATGTGAGCCACCCCCTCCCTTCTCTAAGAGGGGCTGCTTGTCATGGGAAAATGCTGAAAATAGGGATAGATACCCGCTGCTTATCTTGGCCAGAAGGGCTGCTGTGGCCTTAGTGGAGCTGGAAACCCCATAGACAAAGCCAGAAATGGAAACAGCAGGGCCCTCAGCCCAGGTTCCAGTTCTGGGTCTCCCAGTGATGTGCTGTGACCTTGGACAAGCCGCCCCTGAGTTGCAGTTTTGTCCAGTTTATGAGATGGGGACAACCCTGCTCTCTGATGTCTGTCCTGCCTACCTTGCCGGCCTCTGATGTGAATGTACTTTGAAAACTCCCAAGTACTGCCCAAGCAGAAGGGATTACTGACACTGGAGGTGTGATTAGAATACTAATTTCCACCCAGGGTCCCTTGAGGACATGCTGGGCCCATCTTGGAAACAGTAGAGGAAGCTAAGAAGCTGCCAGCAAAGCTCGGGGGAGACTGTCAGAGCCTTATGGGCTGGCTGGCAGGGAGAGCACTTCTGCTCACACAGCCTGTTTTCTTCATGCTCCTGTGTCCAGGAAGGTGCCAAGGACAAGGACACTCACAGTGGCGTGTGTGTGTGTGTGTGTCTGTGTGTGTGTACTGGATGAGGGCGGGGTATGAGGAGTCACTGGATCAGGGCCCTCCTGCATCTGGCCTGGTACTGCCAGGACCCTCTACCCATCTCTTACAGTGTCCTGACTCAGGAGCCCTGGGAAGTACTCAGAGGACCCCAGGGAACCCCAGGAAGTCACCTCCCACCCTTTCGTGCCTGTTTTGGCTGTTGCAGCAGGTTTGAGAGGGTGGATTAGCTCAGTCACCCTCTTTCCTTCCTACCACATCAGATCCATTTTCCCAGCTGGTGGGAGTCCCTATTCTCCTTATGTTATCAGGATGCCAGGATGCTCACACGATGCTG